GATGCATAGGGGCACATGTACCCCAATGTTCATAGCAGCACTCTCAACAATAGCCAAAACATGGAAAGAGCCTAAGTGTCCATAAACTGACGAATGGATCGAGAAGATGTGGTTTATCTATATGATGGAACACTACATGGCAATGAGAAAGAATGAAATCTGGCCATGTGTAGCAACATGGATGGACCTTGAGGGTGTTATGCTGAGTGAAATAAGTCAGGCAGAGAAGGACAGATACCATATGTTTGCACTTATAGGTGGATTAGGAGGAACTTAACGGAGGACCGTGGGGAAGAAGGGGAAAAATAGTTGGGAAGAGGGAGGGAGGCAAGCCATGAGAGACTCTTGAATGCTGAGAACAAAGTGAGGGCTGATGGGGGGGAGAGGGGAAAAGGGGTGATGGGCACTGGGTGTTATATGGAAACCAACTTGATAATAAACTATTTAAGAAAAAAATAGGAGTTTGGGCCTAGTGACTAATGTTGGTGATATGATTCTGGAAAAAGACACACACTTGGAAGTCATAATCTTAGAGATGACACTCGGAACTATTTGGGAGGTTGAGTCTGTATGTGTAGAGAGGATGGAGTGTGGCACCTAGCATAGCATTTTGAGGACCATCAAAACTCCCCCAAGATGAGAGAAAATAGTCAACAAAGTAAAGAGTGGAGCAGGAGCAGGAAAGCAGAAGATAGGGACATAGAAGCCAGATGGAGCTCAGGCTTGGAAATGGAGATGGGGCCAAAGGAGTCAGACATTTGGGAAAGGTCAGCCAGAGCTGACTGACAGCAATCTCTGACCTCAGTACGATGTAGTTTAGTATAAACCTCAGCCCAGCAGTTTCAGGAGAACAGGGAGGCTAAAGCCACGTTACAGTGAGCGCAGGAAGACCTGAATGTGAAGTAGAAAAAGACACTGCAGAAAACTTCATATAGTTTGGGTGTGAACAGAATGACAGAAGCAAGATAACACCTACCAGTGGCTGTGGGGCTGAGGATGAAGAAGACGAAAATGAAGCACATCTGATCTTCACTTCTTTTTACGTGAAAATGAAAATGTTGTCAGGAGAAAGGAGAGGTCACTGATAAAGTATAAGCATCTTACTAGAGCCTTCACCACTGTGCATAAAGGAAATCTCTCCAAAGCTAAGCCTTCGGGAATTGTCCCTCTGTTTGATGTCACGGAGGTTTTGTACCCAGGGGAAGGCCACCATGGTGATGATTGGGATGAGACAGAGGGATGCTCTTTCATCAAAAGGAAAGGTGTAGATGTGCGTAGGGTAATGCAGATGGGCCAAACTTCCATTTCTCAGGCAGCTCAGTTTCATGCAGGCACATTCATCAGTGTTGAGGACATTTAAAATCTGCTTAATACAAAATTTAAATAAATGTTGAATGCTTTTTAAAAATCTAAGATGAAAAATCTTCTGAATAATTAAAAAATACAATGGGGTTGCACAGGAAAAACAGAATTTTCCAAGTCATGTCATTAAGGACTTTTGCATAATTGGATGCTAGGAGTACCATGAATTAGTGAAATCAGACAGCAAATTAAGAGATGTTTTTCTCTGATATCTATCACAATCACATATTATGCCTTTATGCAGAAACAATTATAATAATTTTAAACATACAGGAATAGGGGCGCCTGGGTGGCTTAGTCGGTTAAGCGTCCGACTTTCGCTTGGGTCATGATCTCGCGGTTCGTGGGTTCGAGCCCCGCGTCGGGCTCTGTGCTGACTGCCAGCTCAGAGCCTGGAGCCTGTTTCAGTCTGTGACACCCTCTCTCTCTCTGACCCTCCCCTGCTCACGCTGTCTCTCTCTCTCTCTCTCCTAGAAATAAATAAAACATTAAAAAAAAATTTAAACATACAGGAATAGGTTGTACTAAGAAACGGATATTCAGATCAACATAATACAAAATGTGAAATCAAAAAACATTTAAACATTTAATGAGTCTGGATTCACCAGTAAATCCTTTCTTTCCTTATCAACTTCTGTCTGACCAATATTACACACCCACTTTGGCATTAAACTATACGTGGGTTTGCTAAGAAACAAGGCAAAATTGCCTACTGCATCAAGAACTTTTTTCCATAAGCAGATTAAATTTAAAGAAATAATATCCTTTTTCTAGACTTTCAAGAATAAGAAAATTAAAAATAGTTTTGGCCATGGAATCAAGCAAGTTTTTTTTCAGTAACAAGTTGATGGGAAAAGTCAAGAATTAAGGAAAACTATTTTGACAAAAATTTTTCATAAAATTATTTTAAAGTGTATTTGGGGGCACGTGGATGGCTCAGTCCATGAAGCGTCCAACTCTTGATATGGACTCAGTTCACAGTTCTTGCTGTGAAAAGACTGAGCCCCTGCATTTGGCTCTGTGTTGAACCTGGAGCCAGCTTTGGATTTTCATTCTGCCTCTTTCTTTCAGCCTCCTTCTATAAACAAACAAACAAGCAAACTTTTATCTTCTTATAGCCTCATCCTCATGGTTTCCATCCTCATTACTACTCACACCTTTTAGACGAGCCATCATTCCTCTTTATTGGATTCAGCATCTGTGTTTCTTACCTGTGAGCGCAGATATCTGTTCTTTTTCTAAAGAGAGGGGTTGAGAATAATTATACATGTCACTTCATCTCTGTTGCATGTGATTTGAACTTGGAATATTTAAACACAAGCTCAACTAGCATATCTGAAGTGCTAAGTGAATGGTGCCACATATTTTCATTCAGGCTACTATCACAAACTACCATAGATGGCACCTTACGAACAATGGCAATTTGTTTATCACAATTCTGGAGGCTAGAAGTCTAACATCAGGAGGCCAACATGCTTGACTTGGAGTGAGAGGCTTCTTCTGGGCTGCAGACAGTCATTTCTCTTTGTATCCTCACCTGGTGGAGAACAGACAGGGGAAGCAATCTCTCTTGAGACTCTATAAAGACATTAATCCCTTTCATGAGAGCTCCTCCCTGCAACTTCATTTCATCCCAATCATCTCCCAAAGACTCCACCTCCTAACATCATTACACTGAGGAGTAGGGTGTCAACATGAATTTTGGATACACACATTCATTCCATAACACCCTGATAAGAAGATCCCCAAAATATTGTAATTACAGCAATGTTTTATTAGAATATTATTTCTTTTCCACATTTGGGGGGAGGGGGCGAAGAACACACTCTCTGATGCTGACCTCACTTGGTTATGGCACATTAGTCGTAACTGTTGACTCATTAATTGTTACAGTGCTGCTCTCTGATTGTGAACACCAAGGACCTACCCAATTCCATTGACATCTTTCAGACTTTATCAAAATTGATGCTGCTTCTGCTGCTGATAGCAACTACAAATCACTTTCCCCTTTTAAAGGACCCTATTAATCCTTACAGCATGGATTCAGTAATTACAATATTATTATTTCCAAAAACACCGGCTAAGACTTTAGATAAATAAAATGATCTAATAAGTCAATGGCAAATCCAAGTTTAAAAACCTGCTGTCTCAGATTCCAAACTCCACTTCCGTATGCACAATACTAGACACCTGTGCAAACTGCATGTATTAGACCATCACTTATTGTCTGGAAGGCTTGCACTTCACACGTGTCGTGTTCCTTTATTGTCGCATAACCCCTGGATCACAGGTTCTCTGTGCTTTCCTTAATTTGTCTTCTAACTCCAAATATGTTCATGCACTGACCAAATGAAAGGTAGTTTCATTATTTTGCATAAGCAAAATTAAATAATCAATTGGCAATTTTTCCTCAGAGCCTAAAATGTGATCAACAAAATTATAAATTCTATTAATAATTATAAAGTAACAATTTTAATGTAGTGGCTTTAAGGAGACGGCTCATAGAGATTGCTTAGCTAATTCTCACCATAAACCGGTGAATGTGTGAGACACAAGACTCATGAGAATTCCGGCACCATAGAGTGACTGAATTAAAAACATGTCAGTGACCCCTAGGTAGAAAACATGGAGCTAGTGACCCTTTGGAAAGAGTATCTATCTTCCCCCGCTCTCAAAATTATTTGTTTTTAAAGCCTCTATGCAGGATCATCATTTTCCTTTATGTCTTTTTGTGCTTTTAATGAAATTGAAGTTTAAAAAATATTTATCCTCTTTTAATGTCTATTTCCCTGTGAGACTGAAAGTTCTGGCGCAGAAGTTGTCATGTTATATTTACTCAGATGTGCTTTGGGACGCTTTTCCGTTTACATTATGCCGCATTGATGCTCTGTTTACATTATGACATGAACTGAATGGATGAATAAGTGGGCGGATGCTACCATCCATTCTTCCATTTGGTTCAGAAAACCAGGACTTGGACTTAAATTTTCTTTTTAATTTTTTAAATTTTTAGTTACTTTTGAGAAAGGGAGAGAGAGAGCATGAGTTGGACAGGAGCAGAGAGAGGGAGCCACAGAGTCTGAGGCAACCTCCAGGCCCTGAGCTGTCAGCACAGAGCCAGAAGCAGGGCTCCAACTCATGAACCTGGAGATCATGACCCCAGCGGAAGTCGGGTGCCCAACTGACTGAATCACCAGGACACCCCTGAACTTAAGTTTAAAAAATAAAGACACCCAACAAGTTATCTTTGATAAGAATTTAATAAGATAAAATGTATATTTAATAAAATGAAAAGGTGAATATGCCTTATAAATTTTAATACAATGTAAAGGCAAATACCTTTATATGGAAATACAAATATAAATATGAAGAGCCAAAAGAATGAACGAAAAATAATAATTAATTAATTAATTAATTAAACAATAAATAAATAATATCAGGTCAGTCATCTGTTAGGGATAGATGGTCCTGAAGCTGGATTTTTTTTACACGTTCTCGCTTACTATTCCTCACAAAATATTTGTGAAATTAAAGTAAAAACATTGCGTAATGAAAGCAGGGATGAGAGTCTCTTGAAGCCAGCAGACATACGCGGGGGGGGGGGGCGGCGAGTGGCACGTCAGTCGGCGAGAACCATGTCAAGGTGACCCCGGGTCTCCGTCCTTGATTCCTAACCTATCTGGCAAGGTCACCATGGAGGACAAGGCTCTCTTGATCTCCAGCCGGACAACTTCCCAGGCGCAGTCACTGTATCCCTTGTCTTGCAGGTAGAGACAGATGTCCTGGAAGTACCTCCTGATGGCCAGGGCGGGGCCGTCCGTCCCCGGGGCCCGCCCCGCACAGGCGTCCAGGCCTTCCAGCTGCCGGTGGAGGCCCGCGCGGAGCCTGTCCAGCAGCGCGGGGCTCCAGGCGGCCGAGGAGCGCTCCGTGTGCAGCAGGGTGAAGACGTGCTGGCAGCTGCGGGGGGACGGCGGCCGCCTGGGCCCCCTGCCGCCCGCCGCCCTCCAGCGTGTCCCGGGGGAGCCGGAAGTCTTTCCTGTCGCGCAGGCACAAGAAAGGGGACAGTGTGCGCATTTGGCCCAGGAGCGCCAAGTTGTCCCTGCTCACCTGCACGTGGCCCCGAGGCAGGGCGCAGCCCAGGGAGCCCCCGGGGCGGCAGGCGAGCGGCACCAGGGCGCTCAGCAGAGGGCGCAGGAGAGCCGTGGGGACGCCGCGGGCGCCGCGGGCCTGGGAGCTGGGCGCTTGGTGAACCCGGTTCTCTGAGGACCGTCTTTCGAGGCATGGCTTTTAAATAGGGGACACAGACGTTTTCATTTTCTAAGCATTCCTCTCCACTTTTGCTTCCCTTTTTTGGTTTTCATTGACGTGTTCTCCATGTTGTCGAAGAAGATGTCATCAATCTAAAATACTATATTTGCAGGGGAAGCTTTATTTCCCAGGAAACTTCCTATGTGTCCATCCCAGGAGATACTTACCAGTCAAACGGCAAACATCTTTGTCCTAAAGACTGGAGAGATGTAGGCATGTAAACACACACACCTGCTCACATATATGTTTTAACATACAAATCCTGCTCTTCTTTGGTGAGGAAGAAAATTTGGCCTTGATTGTGGACTAAATTTTTACCCTCCTTACTTTGCTCTTTCGTTTTCAAAACATCAGTTGCTTTACATTCTCGTGTCAACCCTCCTGGAAAGCAAAGCATGACCGTTGTGTGTGAGCAAAGAGAAAACATAGGTTTGAATGTCATGCAAATGAAAAAGAGGAAGTGTCAAGTGTCTTCTCTAGTGACAAAAAGCAAAAGTGTAAGTTAGCAAAATTCACTGCACCCAAATCGGGGACTGGCATCTCTGGCAGAGGGAAGAATGAAGGGCAGTGCTGAATGACCCCCAATCAGAAAAATAGTTGCTCAGGCTTGAGGCTCAAGGCAGAAAGTAGGCGGGCTGGGCTGGCTCCCCTTGCCCATGCTGCTGGCCCTGTGGAACAGTTTTCCGACAATTTCAAATATTTAATCATTAATAACTCTGGGCTTGAAACCAACCGTGACTATAGACATTTTCAGGGCAAGACTCTCTCTTTGGCCCACAGTAAGGAAGTAGGTTTATGACAGCATTAGAATCTACGGATGCCAACAGGTAGCCATTTTGTAGCTTGAGGGGACATCTTCAGGAAGAGGTGGGATTCTACCTAAATCCCAGTTGGCCCTCCAGTCCTGGTGGCTGCCCTTGTGCACTTGGCTTCCAGGGGGCGATCTTGCCTCAGAGCAGCTTCATTAGCCCACCCTTCAACTGGATCCTGCCTTCTGTTTGCTTTTAGCCTGGGCTGCTATTACATCACCTTCAAAGGAAGTTAAAAGAAAGGATCTCAGAGGTGCCTGAGTAGCCCAGTCCATCGTCCAACTCTTGGTTTCAGCTCAGGTCATGATCTCAAGGATGGTGAACTGGAGCCCTGCATCCAGCCCTGCACCGGGCTCTGCACCATCAGTGCTTAGGATTCTCTCTCTCTCTCTGCCCCTCCCGCCTCTCACCCTCTCTGTCTCTCAAAATAAACTTCCAAAAAATTTTCTTAAACTTATTTATGGTTTTTTATTTATTTCTGAGAGAGAAAGAGACAGTGTGAGCAGGGGACAATCAGAGAGAGAGAGAGGGAGACACAGAATCTGAAGCAGGCTCCAGGCTCTGAGCTAGCTGTCAGCACAGAGCCCAACGCGGGGCTTGAATGCACGAACTTAGAGATCATGACCTGAGCCGAAGTCAGATGCTTAACAGACTGAGCCACCCAGGCGCCTCTAAAAAATACTTTTAAAAAAAGCATCTCACTAGATGTTTCTGCAAAACCTAGAGATTTCATTTGATGTTTGCTTCCTAGTTGTGATGAGCTGCTCTGTAGGGAAACCTTTAGGCTGAGACCACAACAGAACAGAAAGCTGCTGTGTGAATATGTTGACAGGTGAAGGAAGTGAGTGACAAATGTGGGGGGCAGGGAGGGGAGCTTCTGCCTTGGACAGCAAGGAAACTGTTAGGACAAGGGAATGTGTCTTCGAATGCTGAGGGAGGTGGCAGATGCCAGAATATTAAAGAAACATCATGTTCTGTGCTTTCGCGTTCAAAAGGACTTCTTTAGTACTTTCGTACTAGATACTTATTCTCAACACTCAGGTATGAATTCAAGTCACCATTTCATCACTGAATATAAATAAGATACTTCCCTGAAATGAGAAAGGAATCAGTCAATGTTCTCTAGAAATAATGACAGAATTCTGTTTTGTAGAACTTAAATCCTTTGAATTTCAGTTAGTGAAAGTAGGACACACAGTTGCTAAGAATGTGTAGAAAGAGGCAAACATTATTCTCATATATAGCCGTCTGGGAAAAATAAGACAACACAACAGAAGTTATCAGTCATTGCACTATGGAAGATGTGAGGCTTGGTGCCTTTCCTGTGTATGAGCTCATTACATACCACAATATTCTGTTATTATCATTAAGTCTGTTTTTACTCCTAAATTATATGCAACATGTTCTTGCTTTATTGATTTACGTAATTCATGTTGTATTTTTAGCTGATTTTAACCACTTTTTTTCCTTGCCTTAAATATTAAGAAAGAGAACGCCTGACTCAGCTTCTCGCTTTTATTTTTGAAAAAAGTCTTCCCTTTTTCATGTCCACGATAAGATTGTTATTTGCAATCCTCCACAATGTGATAACCATGAAATTGGGAAAAACAACTAGCAGGTAACAAAAAAGAATTCTTACATGGCGAAGTCTTCTGGAAAATAAAACATGCTTTAAGGCAACTGTAGTAAACCCCTGTATCATTTAACAATTTAAGTAATTTGGTCAATTAAGCCAATAATTCGAAGAAACATTATTTTATCAGTGGTAATTGATACTTTGATAAAAGATTGAAGTAATTATTTCTGACTACTGAATTCTCAAAGATGAGCAACTTGCCGAATACAAGGATGCGATAACCATGACACGATAAATCATTGTAAGTAATTAAGCAAGTCATGATTCAAAATAAATACCATATCAAACACATTGAGAGGCCAGTTCATCAATTCCAGGAAATCAGCCAGAAAAAACCTGTGGCATACGAGGGAAAAGTATTCACAGAAAATGTACCCCTCAACATGTTCCAGATCCCACGCTCTATTCCTCTCCACTTGAGAGGCACTAACTTCTCTTCCTTATGCTTCTACCTACTCCAGTGTGGTTTCCGCTTATTCAATCCACCAAGCCACCTCTCATGCATCTACTTTTCTGACATAGCAGGCGATTACATCCCCATCGTCCTGAGTCCACTGACGTGCTTCTAAGCATGTTTCTTTCCTCAGATTCTCTCATCATCATCTTCTTTTGGGATCCTTCTACTATCTGGTCTGTTTGTTTGTGTCTCCTTGGTGGCTCTTCTCTCCCCTCCCTTGGATGGTTTAGGACTCTTAGAATCCAGTTGAGGTCTTTTTCTCACACGGAAAGGTCTCCCCACATGTCCACCTCTGTTTCCGGCTTTCCGTTGCAAGACGTGGACCGCAAGGCATGGCGTTCCTTTTAAAACGCAGGCTCGCCTACCCGCTGACAACGGTACTTTGCCAAGTGATGTCTCCCGGTCAACTATAGAGGAGCTCGACAGCTTTGAGTTTTGATTTTCTGAGATTCTTTACTCGAGGTTCAGGTGAGAGAATTCACCTCTTTCCCTTCTACGTTATACCAGTACGTATGGTGATTGCTTAGGGATTTGTATCCCTCCAAAATCA